AGGAAATTTACTACGCAAAACTCGAACAGTAGTTGTTCATGAAATACTGCAGACATAATTTGAGTTTGGGCTCAGAACAAACATAGTTAGTTAATCTCTCTTGGCGACCTTCACCTACAAAAGGAACATACGACTCCATAATCACTATACTTACTACGTTTGTATGAACATTAAACCTAAACGTGGAGTACATAAAACATGCGGTAATCTTAATTACTTGTCTTCAGGTTAAAGCGAATTTAGTAAATTAATAATTAACCAGAGGCTCAATAGAGGCGACCCTAACCCACATATGTTGACCCTACAGCTCCAGCGGTTGTTAATAAGGCTGTTGGGCCGGTCCATAACCAGTAACCGATATTTAATCAAGGAGATAACCGAGCAGGTAGTCCGCGACCGCAACCGAGAATTAGGCGAGCCTGCTTGTGGAAGGGTAGAGGCGCCACTGGTTGTGCAAGGCTTGTAACTTGTAACTTGTAGCTTGTAACTTGTACGCTACACTTGTAGTGGACGTGATGACAAGTCTGTGTTTAGCGTCGCTCAACGGTGTTTTGTATCGTAACGACCTTGACAACTTGTTTCACTGGTATTACCGTCATATCGTGTGAAGAACGATCTAATGGACGTTGTTTACTGTTGAATACATTTGCAAAAGTAGGGCGTGAAACGGCCAGTAATTATTTAATTACGGTTTTCAGCCAAGAAGGACTGTTGAATGTGGGGATTAGTTATGCATGTAGTAGGAAATACGACCGATAGACAAATTATGGTAGAGTAAAGAAAGTTATGGCCAAGTGAGATAAAAATGATTTCATTATGATTAACTAATCACGTTGTAAATGCAAGAAAAGTGTTGTAGTCAGCATAAACTATGCTAGTATTCAGTGAAAGAAAATTTTAGCTCTATGATCATTATAGTGTAAAATTGAAATTAGTGTTTTGTTATCCAACAAAAGCATTTACTAAATTAGTTTGAAATTAGATTCGTTAAAGGTCAAATGTTTCATTAAATAAATGTCATTCTTCGGTAAAATGCATAATACATAATCGTAAAAGTAACACAATGTCAAAGACAGATGACATTAGAAGATGTTCGGAAAGTAGTATTTTCAATCCAAATGTTCAGAAAACGGGAATCGATAGAATGAATTGTAAGAACTCATTTGCTGGTTTATTTGTAGGTTCACTAAGCCGTAGACCAGAGTCATTATTTACCAAGATAAAGTTGTTACTTAACACCGAGGGCAAGGGAGCATCTAGAAAGGGAAAGCATTTCGTTTCACGCAATCTTATCATAACTCTATTAGGTATTGAGTCAGGCCAAGCCTCTAACAACTAACAACATTCTTTGTGTCTGTCCCTTCTCACGATGAGGTTCTTATCAGTATCCTTGTCAGTGAACCTCCTGGTTTGGTTATTTAAAACCATCAGACATTATTTATGACAAAACTGAAACCCGGGTTGAACCCTTAATTGACAAAGGGTTAGACTACAGAAAGAACCACTTTACCTTCTTCTTTCGACATTGTGATACATTTGTCATAGGCTACAATAGTTTCTATGCTTTGACATAATATTTATAAAATATTTATTTGCATTCCTACAAACTTTCATACGGATAAAATTCATATTTTAGTTAGATTTTTCTGTTATGAACAATAGTGTTTCAGAATTATAAAAAAATGTTAAGGCTTTGATCCTGTTAAAACTAAATATCAATATTATAATTTTAGCATTTGAAAACATGTTTTTATCGCACTTGTGTAAAATACAGAAACATATAAATCCATTCACCTTCTTTCATGCATTACGTGAAAAAGCATTACGTAACTTTTAACCACTAGCTTGTCTAAACGGTTATTTAGTCACACGTCAATCCAATAGTAAGTTCAAATACGATTTCACACCAATGCTTTAAACAATTTACTTGAAAGTGACGTAATATATTCACGTCAAAAGTATAATTGACCATGAACTCACCACGCTTGAACTTGAACGCACGTCTAGCTTAGGAATGTTAATTTTTATTTGATAGTAAATTCATCATAATATTGAGTATAATTTATCAATGCATTTTTAAATGGGGATCAATTTGATCAATCTTACAATTTACAAGTAACAAGTCAATCTTTTTCGAGATAAGTGCAGGTGAAATGCGTAGTAGACACGTCAGTAGCAGGGATGACGTCAGCAAAGTTAGAGATAATCGCAGTAGAGCCATGACGGTCCCAGGCCGAATAAGCCCAGAGGTGGTAAGGTTAGCTACGTCCGCTAAACCGCATTGATCAAGTCCCACTCAATATACAAGATTAGATACGTGCTAAATAATCCGACTGACCTCTGTCGTATTGTTTATCCCTACGCAGAATGTTTTTATCAGTTGTATGATTTTAAGAAGTAACAAATCACCTGAAGGGTTGTAAAACAAAGTTAAAGGAACATCAATTTTCTTGCTCAAGAATTTTCTTTAGCATATGGAGGTGGTGAGTAACTCAACTGGAGTACAATCTGGCCAAGTTACAATCTCCCTCTCTCTAGCCAGCACAAGGATTACACACTTGCTATAACACGATGAATGAAATTTTAGGTCATATAACCTCTGTACTTGGATGATGTTGACATGGAAGAGAATTAGTTCCCCAAAAGCTGAGCCATGTTATCAAGAGATTGCTCCAATTGCTTTATGATTTTTAAACATTCGATAGTTCGGTAAGGTGCAGGCCTAAAAGACATATAATCATAAACTGGCTATGCATTACACCATAACGTAAACATAAACTTTATGAGTGAGCTGGTCTAATGGTAAGAGCGGTCTCTGAGGTATTGGGTTCAAATCCCGCTATATCACCAATGGATTTTATCTTAGTGATAATGCCGCGACCCCTGGGTCTTTTTTTATCCTAGGACGCTAGGTTCGGATTTCGTCTCCAGAGCGCCGAGTCTCCCGAGTGCCGCGGCTCCCCAGCGCCGAGCAGGCTATCTGGAATAATCTGACAGTATTCACAGCCGAATTGGAATTCACAAAAGCAACGAACTGCGGTATAGGCGGAAGCCCAACTGAGCATTGTAGACAATCAAAATTGGAATGACGTTAATTTTACATACATTTCATTGCAGACATGATACGTCTTGAATTCTAAATTAACATTTAATGGATATTTTGTAATTGAGCTTACCGACACTAGTACTTTTGATATGCTCACACTTAATCTTGAAATATTAACCTAACCTAACTTTACCCAACTTAACTTAACCTAACCTTGATTGCTTCACGGATTAAACCTATTGATACTATTTTAAAAGAGAAGGTAATAACTGTCGTTACTTCTTCATTTTTGAGCAGACCCTTTGGTTAATTGTGGCCTCGGCGCTAAGAATACCCATTTGCCCTTCTGTAGCCCTGCATTTGCCCTCGGCGCTCGGGGGACTTATAACTTAGATCAAATCCATTGGCGATTTGGAGGGATTTAGACCCGGAAACTCTTTAACCAAAGTCCCGTGCTCTAACCACTATACCAGCTCACTACCCTAGGCCTAGCCTGAAGTAATGTGACAAATATTGCCTGGCTCGTGCCTAGTGTCATATTACAATAACATTGCTTTGCGTCCTCACCAACGAATCAAGGTGCCCATATTGCCAAAATATTTCTCAAACATTTAAAATATAAAATTCATATTCACATAATACTATTGTTTCAATAAGATATTTACTTATCCATGCAAATTCAAATAACACAATCCTGCTAATGTTTTGCAGCACAGTCCCGTAGTAGCCTAGTAGCGTGGTGGTAGTGTAGTGAGGTCAGTCAGCAGTGTTTTGCACTAACTAGCCCCGTTTCTAGAAATAGTTGTATAAACAATGTTCACTCGGCAAGTTCATGAATGTAACTCACATCAAACGTGTGTCGAGTTGTGAGTAACGTAACGACTTTGATGACGCAAGACTCATGATTGTTTAGACTGCTGACATACACACAAACACACCGACAACTTGTATTTGATATGGCAAACGTAGGGCGTACATTCTGCTTGATCCACAAGGCAATTGCAACACTAACACAAACCTTACGAACTTTAATATGTGATTTTTAAACAATAGCTAATTGCAAAAAAAGTATACACACGCGGCATTTTCATGTATTTTTACAGTAATTTAATAAATATGAAATCTAATATTAGCTTGTTCATACAGTAAACACTTTCGTTATTGGTACGTTTTTTGGAATGTGTGCAAGTTGTATAAGCTAATTAGATAACTACAGGCTATCTAATATGATACAAATACAATATTTTTTTAAGTTTTCAGATTAACGACTAAAAAACGCTTAGGAAAAGGTAATATAGTAATAGAGCGCGGGCTTTGGTTTCCGAGTTCACGTCATATCAATCTCCAATTTCAAGAGTCGTGAAATCTTTAGCCATCATAGGTGCTATCGGTGGTATGTACAATACATGCATCGGATTAACGTCATTACAATATAGTTGCCTTAGGACCAATAGCTTTCAGTTGTGCTAATAGGCCTAACCCCACAACCCTCTAGGCTTAGCCTGATGTAATATACAAAGTAATGTGGTTCCGGGCTAGAACCTAGGGTTCAAATATGTAAGGGAAGGGCATAAAAAAATAAAGTCTTTGCATGCTCAGACACCAATACATTTTGGTTTAACTTTTTGACTTGAGCATTCATAATTGTATGAACACTTATTAATAACTGTATTAATCTTTAGATAAACAATCTATTCATACTGATCAGCAAAGTAAAATCATTGACCTCCAGTCAAAGATAACATTTTATTACATATGTTTTCCTTAACACTTTTGGAATTTTGAATGAGCAATTTGATTGATAGTTTCGGTGGACAAATATTGTTCGTAGATAATACAATCTGGTGGAAAACCTAGCTGATGGTATGAAGAGAAATATTTGACAAACGTAGAATTACCTTACACATAGAGGCATATTGTTATTGAATGAATGGTGGTGATAGTTGATACTTACGGCACATTTACACGTGTCTAGAATCTCAACCTCCGTGGTGACGCTGTCAAACGTGACGTTGTGTCTGTACATGAAATCTGAAACACAACATTCAGGGTCATTGTCTGAGGTGTCCTCCAGCCGAGCGAGCAAAGGGTTATACAGTATAGTGTCAGGTTGATGTTGTACATTCATGTCTAAAACATATTAGACCAAATTATAAACAGTTAGAGGGTAAAACACGTTTCATATTTTGTTGAACTTTTATTAGTGCTTATCCCATAGCCGCATCAATATTGTCTTTAAAACTCACTTCATGGCTTCATCAATATAACAACGCATGTATTTGTTTTTCTCCATGGCGGAAAACGTTTATAATTGTCCTAGTTTACCTCTGTAAACCAATTCAGTCTGCTGATTGGAATCAAGCCACAATAATATTGAAAGTGTTTATATCAACTATTAATGCTCGTTTACTGGCTAATTTAATCTTAACTAAGATAAACATTGATAACTTCTGATTTTCTATTGCTAAATAAATTAACAGCTTCATTATTCTTAAATGCAATGTCACTTTGTTGGCACTCTTCCCAGTTTTATAAGTCAAAGGAATCGTATAGAATTTTATTATTTTAATGACTCAATTAAAGAAGCGTGCGAAAATGTGGTTCTAAAACCTTTCTAAACGAGTTTTGGCTCTGCAGTCTACTTCAGTGTCATCTGAAACCTTGGTTTAAGTGTTTCAATGCGTACAGTTATGTGACCAATGCTACTTCACTCATAGATATAAGAGAGGGGTAGATATAGCGTATTGAGTAGACCAAGGAAAACCAAGACCAAACAGAGATATGAATCAGTGACGGTATACAAAAACTTTACCTTTACTCTTAAAGGCATATATCAGCTATGTATGATATATGCAGAGCATAATTTGAGGGAGCCTCAATATATTTTTAGAATCTGGCATTAAACGTAAACTGATGACAAGGTAGCTTATTTGAGGTGTGGTTGATTCCCAACTTATGTCAATCTAAGAACAATGTAAATGTTAGTCCAAGTCAAAAATCAGTTGCAGTGTCTGTTTTCTTAGTTTATTTGTGTACTTGGACGGATATAAATCAAGAATTTTACATTTCAATAAGCTATATGATGTACCTGTACTATTTTACTAAATGTCATAACTCAAACTCAACTAACTGTATTTACCTTTTTACAAACATAGAATAACAAATAAACATATGATAATAATTAATAGAAATTAACAGGTGTTATGAAATAAACTGTTCTCACAACATCCTCCCTTTTAAGTTTGAAAGTTCTTCAACCAGCTTGGTTTGTGTATATTTCTCTTTGGACGGTTGTATGGTTCTGTTTGATGTGTATTTGTTGACAAATTTTGTTCACTGTTTTCCTCTCTTAAATAAGGGGCAAGTTTGAGGTGGAATCGATTTCTTCTCACATTCCTCTTATCAGTTTCAACAATATATGAACGAGGGCTGTCCAGGATTTTCACAATTTTGCCATGTCTTCTAAGGTCCACAATCCAAACTGGGTCTCCTATATGAAGAGGATTGAGAGTTTGCACTTTGTGCCTTCTATCATAGTTGTGTTTGTACTTCTCACGATATGTTTCTTCTCTCCCTTTTAGATCCTTTAGATCTGGTTTTCCACTAAGAAAATGTCCTGTCTGAGGCAATGTGCTCCGTAATCGCCTGTTCATAAGAAGCTGAGAGGGACTGAACCCATTCCAGAGGGGTGTCGTTCGATAGGCTAGAAGCACTAAATAAGGGTCTTCCACATTTTTCTTTAGAATCATTTTGGCGATTTTCACTGCCGCTTCAGCCTCTCCATTGCTTTGGGAAAATTTTGGGCTACTTGTTACATGCTTGAAGCCATAAACTTTGGAAAATGTCTTGAAATCTGAATGTTCAAGGACTTGAAATTGAGACCCACAGTCCGACCTAATTTCTTCTGGAATGCCGGGTCGACAGAAAAAGGCTTTGCATCTCATTATTTACTTCTCGTGATGTTAATGACTCTAATTCAGCTATCTCAAAATATCTGGAGTAATAATCTGTCACAGTCAAAAACCAAACGCCTTCAAGTTTGAACAAATCCATCGCAAGTGTTTTCCATGGCCTATCAGGGAACTGTTTGGGAAGCAATGGTTCATGACTGTTCCTTGAATGTTTAATACAAGTAGGGCATGATTTCACCATACTTTCAATGGCTGAAGAAATTCCTGGCCACCAGACTGACTCTTTTGCACGTAAACGACACTTAGTGATTCCAAAATGACCTTCATGTACTCTTTGAAGTGCCCAAGACTGCAGAGCTGGCGGAATTACAAGTCTTGAACCTCGTAGTATCATCTCATTATCAACACTTAGCTCATCCTTAACTGAATTATACGGTTTTAGGTCATCTCGTAATGATGTCTTAGAAGGCCAACCTTGGATGATTATTTTTTTCAGTTCACGTAAAGTCGGATCTTTATTTTGTTCCTCCAATACTTTAGCAACTATGCAGTCGTTTATATCAATGGACGACAAAACCATTTGAACAAACGCTTGAGTTTCTTCTTCTAACTCACGGTCATCAGTACCTGAAAATGGGAGAGGTGCTCTTGAAAGAGCATCAGGAACTAGAAGCTGCTTTCCAGGAATATAAGTAATTGAAAAATCATATCTCATGAGACGCAATCGAATTCTTTGAATTCTTGGAGACAATTCATCAAGATGTTTGGATTTCAAAATTTGAAGTAGTGGTTTGTGATCTGTTTGTATTGTTATTCTCTTGCCAATAATAAATTCTTGAAACTTTTCACATGCCCAGGCAACAGCTGTAGCCTCCCTCTCGATGTTTGCATAGTTTTTTTTTCAGAAGGAAGAAGGCTTCGGGATGCAAATGATACTGGTCGTATAGAACCATCATCTTGAACTTGAGAAAGAGTTGATCCTAGTCCTTGAAGCGATGCATCACAGGAGATAATTGTTTCCCGATTTACATCGTAAATGGCTAGGCAAGGAGAGTTAGTCAAAATGAGTTTTATTTCATCAAATGCCTTCGCCTGCTCTGGAGCCCATATCCATGGAACGTTAGCTTGAAGTATTGAATTCATTGGGGCCAAAATCTTAGCTTTGTCAGGAATAAACTTACCAAGAAAGTTTACCATCCCATTGAACCTTTGAAGTTCTTTTACGTTTTTTTGGACAGTCCATTTTGAGAATGGCGGAAACATTTTCCTTATCAACAGAAATTCCATCGGATGAGAGGAAAAGCCCAAACTCTGCCCTGCTAAGCACAGTTGTGGTAACTGACATTTTTAGGGAAAATGAGATATGGTTTCCATGTGATTCTACACATACTTAGGATCATATAAATAGCCTTAAATGCCGTATATGTTGTTGTATTTATTTATAAAAAGCTTATTTTCTTTGCCGTATCTGCAGTTTAGGAGTGTTTTACTAAGCGCAGTTGTTGTAACTTACATTTACTAGGGTATTTAAGTTGTATCCAACAACAGATACAACGATTTCCCTTAGGAATGATATGTTACCACAAAACGCTTTAGCAATCCATCAGTTACGGCAATTTAGTTTAGCATAATCCCCATTATTGGCCGAGTATTCCTATATAAGTGCCGTGTTGTTGGAATCAAAGCTTTTGTCTCTTTGAATTGAGGCGACCTATTATTATCATATAATGAATTTAATTTCCTTTATATTGACATTCCACTTAATAGTATCATTTTTACGGCAAAATTTTAACAGAGTATCTTGTAGGCCTATTAAATGATGGGCCTTTCTTTAGAAGAGGTCATTTATTCTGCCAATAATGTAAGCATAAAAAATTAAACTGTAAGTTACGTTTTTACAGGCCAATCTGATGAAATAAATTATGACTTGAGTTAAGGGGTTTCTGGTTCAGATAATGTAGGCTTGATAAATGAAATTGAGATTTTAACAGGTCAATCTGATGATCTTAATGAAGATGTACCTACTTATGAAAATTACTCATAACAAAAACGTCTCAAAAAGTTGGTAACATTTTTTTACAACCTTGTGCTATAACAAAACCAATGATAGGATTATTCAAGATATGTCTAAGGAAAATGGTGTCTCGCCAAAACCTGATGGGAGGAAAGGATGCCCCATAACAAGATTGACAGATCATCGATTGCTGATCCCCAATAACCATACAAATTGTTAAAAAATTTTCAAAAGTTGTATTACAATAATTGTTTTACAACCATTAAAAACCATTTTGATTTAAACTTCACATTACAACAATTTTAATATGATTGAAATTATCTTTAAATTGTTTAACAATCAGTTTTATGCAGTATACAAAATAAATTTTAATACAAGTTTTAAAATTGTTTTATTCTTTGTTTTGTTATAAAGAATTTCAAAACAATTTTCCAAACAATATTTAAATTGTTTACAAAAGTATTTAATAATTGTTTGTGTAGGTCTAGTTCTAAAAAACAAATTTCAACAATTTTAAAATCAATTTTTTCACAATATTTAAATTGTTTACAAAACTATAGGACAATAGTTTGTGTAGTTCTTAAAAAACAAGTTTCAACGTTTCAACAATGTTGAAATAAACGTTTTATTTGTTTGATTATTGATGTTTGATTAAATATGAGATGTTTTAATCTTAAATAATAGGTTTTATCCCTGTTTTGGCAATTTTTTAAGTAGCATGCATTTAATTTGGATTATATATGTTTTATCATTCATGTTTATTAACAGCTTATAATGCTTACAATTTTTTGTTTTAAATTGTAATGAAGTAATCGGAAAAGTATTAAAATAAAATAAAATAAAATATGTTCATCATTATTGTACAGTTAAAGCATGGTAATTAATTAATTCTTCTTATAAAGAATTTTTTTGGAAAATATAATACAATTGTTTACAATTTTATACCAGTTATGTACGAACCTACATGAATTAACATACATATATGTAGTGTCGTGTGCTTCTATATTATAAATAATTATTTAAATAGGTAAATTCATAATGTATAAGTTATCGACTTTTGTGATAAGTTACCGATAACGTTGTGATAGTTGCGATACTAGATACAA